ACATTAAAGGGATAATAAAGGAATATTATGAACAACATCCCCAGCAACTGACTATTCAACCCATAGTTGAGGTTGTGAAGGGGAATTTTCTCTCTCTGGACATGATCCATGGCATCCCACATCCTTTTAAAAGTGTGGTGTCCACAGTTTAACACCCTGTGTTAGGTGTGATCTTACCTACACAGTCCTGTGGGACTGTCACCTGCCTTGTGCTGGCTCTACACTTCTAGTAACACAGCAGCATATAATCTTTTTACGCATATTAGGTTTCCACATGCAGAAGTTTCCAAGGGTTTTGTCATATGTAATCTCTGCTAATCCACACCTCCCTCATCCTGCAGTTCTGGGTTTAGTGGTTCTTGGGCCAAGTGGACCAGGTGGAAGATGTTTTTCCTTGTTACATATCACCTTGCTAGATTCCATTCATTATGTCAGCCTGTCGAGATTTTTAAAATTTTGATGTTATCATCTGTCTCATTTCTTCTCAACCTAAAAAATGCCACAAGCATGCACCCCTCTCTTGTTCCTGGGATCACTCCAGAATATTCATTTCCAAGCTATTTTAGTTGGAAGAGCCCTTTCTACAAACAGCATTTAGTGCAGAGCCTCAACATATAAAGCAGATAAGAGCCAAACCCAACTCATCAGCCTCTTTCCTCTGGGCAGCCCCTGAAGCCACTCCTCAGAATCAAGGGCTCTGCCAGCCCAGGCCAAAAGCTGCTCCTCTGAGATTACAACCAGTGCTCTTAGAATCTTGCGGTGTGACAATGAAGGCAGAGTAGGGGAACCTGTTTGAGCATCCAGGAACTCTCTTACCATGCCTGACCACATCTCTGCTATCTTTTCATTCTCCTGAGTAGCAAAAACAGAAGCCTCAAGAGAGGAGGAGGGACTGCTGTGTCACTTCTCATTTGCTCAGCAGCAAGTGGGGAATTAATCTCTTCTTTCATCTTCTAGAAACAAATCAAACTTTAAAAAAAAAAGTCTACATTATTGCTCATTCATTCATTTCACAAATGTTGGTCAACTGCATCCTGTGAGCCAGGCCCTTGTCCTAGGTGCTGGAGACATGGGGGTGAATAAAACAGACCTGCTGAAGCCCTTACCGAGCTGGTGTTGGGATAGACATAGAGTTGGGGAGTGGGCAGGAGGGGGGAGGCAGACACAAAACAGGCAATCAGACAAATAAGTATTAGATGACAAATTGTAGCAAGTGCTGAGAAGGAAAACACACGTTGCCATGAGAGAGAATGTGGGGGCTGGGGTGGGCGGACTAACTTGTACTGAGGCACCAGGGAAGGTCTTCCTGAATAAATGGAACAAACACTGAGACTGACAGGTGTGTAGATGCAGGCTGGTGAAAAGTGGGGGGCAAGCACCTTCCATGCAGAGCAAAGAGCACGTGAGAAGAGACTGAGGCAAGAAAGAGCTAGACATTTTCAAGTGTCTAGAAAAAGTCCAGTGTGGCTGGAATGCAGAGGGAGAAGGGAGGGACTCAGGAGGAGGCTGCAAGTCAGCCAGGAGCTGGGTCTTAAGAGCTTGGGGACCCACTTGAGGACTTTTTTTTTTTAAGCAATAATAAACATTTGTTATCTCACAGTTTCTGTGGGTCAGGAATTTGGGAGTGCTGTGGCTGGGCAGTTCTGGCTCAGGGTCCCTCATGAGATTGTAGTCGAGCTATTGGCTGGGGCTGCAGCCATTTGAAAGCTTGAGTGGGGCAGGAATCCACCTCCATAACAGTTCACTCAGTAGCTTGCAAGTTGGTGCTGGCTGTTGGCTGGAGGCCTCAGTTGTGCCCATGTAGACCCTCCACAGGGCTGCTGGATGTCTTCACAACACGGCAGCTGACAACTTTAGATTTTCCTTCTGGTCTTTTCCCTTTGTTTCCTTCAATTGCTGTATCACTTTGCTTATTCCTCACTTTTTTCCTCAATTTTTTATTGTGGTAAAATAAACATAACATAAAATTTACCATCTTAGCCATTTTTAAGTGTACAGTTTAGTGATATTAAGTACTTTCACACTGTTGTGCTATCATCACCACCATCCACCTCCAAAACTTTTTCATCTTGCAAAACTGGAACTCTGCACCCATTAAACACTAACTCCCCGTTCCTCCCTCTGCTCCGCTCCTGGCAACTACCATTCTACTTTCTGTTCTTACGAGTTCGACTATTTTAGGTACCTCATATAGGAGGAATCATACAGTATATGTCCTTTTGCGACTGAATTATTTTACTTAGCATAATGTCTTCAAGGTCCATCCCTGTTGTAGCATGTGTCAGAATTTCCTTCCTTTTTAAGGCTGAATAATATTCCACTGTATATACATACACCACATTTTGCTTATTCATTTATCCATTGACAGACATGTGAGTTGCTTCTACATTTTAGAATGATGATGCTTTCAGTTCTTTTTGGTATATACCCAGAAATGGAATTGTTGGATCATATGGTAATTCTATTTTTAATTTTTTAAGGAAACACTGTACTTCTTCCATAGCAGCTGCACCTTTTTACCTTCCTACCCATAGTGCACAAGGGTCCCAATTTCTCCGCATTCTCACCAACACTTGTTATTTTCTGTTGTTTTGATAACAGCCATCCTAATGGGTGTGACGTGGTATCTCAGATGGTTTTGGTTTGTATTTCCCTAATGATTAGTGGTGTCGCGCATCTTTTCATGTGCTTATTGGCCATTTGCATATCTCATTTGGTGAAATGTCTATTCAAGTCCTTTGCCTGATTTTGAATCAGGTTGTTTTGTTGTTGTTGTTGTTGTTGTTGTTGTTGCTGCTGCTGCTGCTGCTGTTGTTGAGTTTTAGGAGTTCTCTATATATTCTGGATAATAATCATGTATATGATTTGCAAATATATCCTCCCATTCTGTAGGCTGCCTTTACTCTGTTGATAGTGTCTTTTCATGCACAAAATTTTTTAATTTTCATGAAGTCTAATTTTTTATTTTTCATTTTTCTGCCGATGCCTTTGATGTCATGTTCAAGAATTGAATTGCCAAGTCCAATATTGTGACACTTTTGTGCTGTGTTTTCTTCTAAGCATTTTATAATTTTATTTTTTCTGCTTAGGTCTTTGATCCCTTTTGAGTTAATACCTGTATGTAATGTAAAGTAAGGGTCAACTTCACTCTTTTGCATGTGAGTTTCCAGTTTTTTTCAGCACCATTTGTTCAATGCTGTGTCACTTTTTCATGCAGGACCATGACGGTCTTGTCCATGTGAGGAGTCAACCAAGACACTTTTTTCATCCACATCACTGTGTTGACCAGGAACTATGCAAATGCACACCTCCCCCAACATAATCTCTGCCCCACCAAGATTTTAAGCAGCAGGTTACACGTTTCCATTTATGTATTTAAAGATCACTCTGGACTCAATGTGGAAAACACATTGGGTGGATGCCATAGCAGATGTGTGGGGCCCTGTTGACAGGCTAGTGAAATAATTCAGGTGAAAGATGGCTGGGGCAGTGGCAGAGTAAAAGGCAAGAAGTGAATAGAACTAAGCAATATTCAGCATTGACCATGAGTGCCCTTAGGGATGGGTTAATCATGGTGCAGGGCAGTGGGGACAGCGTGATGTCAGCATCGACCCCCATTCTCTGGCTTGCACAACTGGTAAGTTGTGCTGCTACTTCACTGAGATCAGGGACACTGGAGGAGGAATAGGCTGGAGGGGAGGTCCTGAGTTTTGCACATAATGAGCTTAAAGAATCTTTGAGATTGGCAAGTGGAGATGCTGAGCAGCCAGCAGGAACTCTGTAGAGAGAGGTGGACTGAGATAGAAGGGAGAGGTTGCATGAAAATAAATAGTGACTGCTCTGGGGCATCAGGAGAGAGAGCAGAGTGGGAGGCAAGGGGCTCAGGACAGTGCCCGGGGAGCCTTGACTTTTAAAGCTGCACTGAGAAGCAGTGGCCAGACAGAGAAGAGGAAAGCAGGAGCCTGTGTGCAGAGAAGCCGAGGGGAAGGGCTGAGGAGGCAGCAGGCAGTCACAGGCTGAGAAACTGAGAAATGCCCATGCAGAGGGCACCACCACGGTGGTCAGTGACCATAGTCAGAGCTGCAGACAGACAGGAGGCTACAGAGCACGTGGAGGGGAGAGGGGCAGGGGAAGGAACCTCCACATGCAGATGACTCACCAGGAGAGCTTGGAGGGAAGAGAAGGCAGGCCTGGCATGAGAGGACACCAGCTGGAGGCTCAAGGTTGTCTGCTTGCTGGCTCTGGGTCAGCACCAGGATGCGCCCCCATGTTCTCACTTGACCAGGAGGCTCGGCCCAGGACAGGCCCCTTTCTGCTCTCCCTCCTAGTCCCTTGAGTAGAGCACACTCTCCCATTGAGGAACCCATCTGCTGCTGCACTGCCTGCACCTCAGTGACCCCAGGGAGGGCCTCTTCATGCACCAACGAGCCCTACCTCATGTGTATGCCCAGACAAGCGTTTGCGAGTACATCCATGGTCCCTGACCCCTCATAACCATTTTAATCATTTTCTCCTGGTATCAGATGACTACAGGCACATCTCACCCTTTCCTTTGTACAGAAACACATCAGTCAAAAGTCAGCCACCTTCAGTACACAAAGCTGCCATGTCAAGCGTGTGTGTGCACATCAGCAACAGTGGTTCACAATATCAGGGCCTTCTCCATCAGACGGCCACGCCTGCAGTGACTGAGCATGTGTGTGTGCATCTGCACACGGTGTATATGTGCATGTGTTCATGTGTACATGTATGCGGGCATGTATGTATACTGGGTGGGTGTGCGTGTGTACACTTGGTGCATGCACGTGTGCATGTGTGGGTATGCATTGTGTGTGCGCTTGTATGAGTGTGTGCACATGCATCACGTGTGCGTGTGCATGTTCATGTTTATGCCCTGTGTGCATGTGCACACATATAGAGGTGGGGGTGTCCATGCTCTTGTCTTGGAACAAAGCACAGCTTTAATACCTTTTCCCAACTCTGCTTGCTGTGGACTGCAGCCCCTGGGAAGCCTGGCCCCACCGACAGATAGCAAAGCTACGGAGAAGGAGAAGAAGCCACCCACAACAACCACCAAGGCGGGGAGAGGGAAAGCAAAAGGAAAGAAGAAAGGGAAAGTGAAAGAGGAAGTGGAAGAAGAAACAGACCCCCGGAAGATCGAGCTGCTGAACTGGGTATATGGAAAGTCTCGCCCCCGCGTCTTGGGATCACAGACATCATCCCAAACTAGCACCACCGTCCTTCTCAGGGGAGGACAGTTCTTGTTGCCTTCAGCCCCACCCAAGGCCCTGAGTTCCAGGAGGGAGGGTAAAGGGTTGAAGGAATGGTGTCAACACTGCAAATGGCAATGGCACATTCGCTGCAATGTAGCTGTCAGTTGTCAAAAACACAGAACGGTCCTGCTTTGGGGGGAATGATGCCACCTAGAGAGGAGGTTCTGGTCATCTTGCCCAACAGTAGCTCTCTCCACACAGACATGCAGATGCTGATGTGTGAAAACATGGGAAACAAACAAGTTATTACCAAATAAGTGCAATTCATGCAACAAAACTTCTTTGAAAGATGAGCACGTGACTGGGGGTGGGGGGTAACAGCAGAGGGCTGAGCTGGAGCCGGGCCATGCATTGCTCAGTGATCTCACCGTCTCACCACAGCCAGGGCTCAGGCAAGACAGGGCAGCAGGCCTCCGGGTGACTCATGCCAGCCATCACCACATCCACTCACCGACACGGCGCCCTGGTGGCCTGCCCTCGTGGTCCCACTGCTGCCATGTAGCTCAGTCCAGGAAGCAAAGGGTAGAAACTGGACAGAGAAATGCCAGAACAGCTGTAGCTCTGAATCCTCTTCAACTTATTTTAGAAAACAGGAAATCATCTACAAACTTTGATAGAGCATGTAGGGCCTGAACAGAAGAAAGGAGAGAGGAGATGGGGCATGTGCATTCAAGACAAGGAGCATAGAGAACCATGTCCAGAAGACTCCAGGGTCTGGGGGTCAGAATATGCTTTCCTTAGCGTTTCCCGGCAGCCTCCTGCACTGTGTCTCGCGAGCAGGCCACTCACGGGCTCCTATTCCTTGGTTTGTGCAGGTGAATGCTTTGGAGCAAGCGATGCTGGATGCTTTAGTCTTAGATCGTGTGGACTTCGTGAAGCTCTTGATCGAAAACGGAGTGAACATGCAGCACTTTCTCACCATCCCGAGGCTGGAGGAGCTCTACAACACGGTGAGCAGTCCAGGAGCAGGGAGCACAGGGGGAGGAGCCATCTGAGCATGTTTGCTGCTGGTGCTCAGTGAATGTACTCAGAAGGGCGCAGAACCACTGGGACAAGTTTCAGCTGGAAGGTCCATATTTAAGAGCGGGCAGCAGGCTACAGCCTATGTTCACCTTCGTATCAGCTACTGCCATGCCCTGCCAGCCACTGCCTCCTCGAGTAGACAGACTCCTGTCCCACACTTGTTTATACAAAGAAAGACTCTAGCTTCTGAAGTCATTAGCAGAGTGCAAAGTTCCCAGGGGTGAGCAGTCAATTGTTCCTTGGGACCCTCACATTTTATGAGGCTTTGGTGAGAAATGCAGACCTAAGTTTTCACAGCAAGGAGCTCTGCTGTATTAGAATGAAAGTGTTTGAATGAAATCCCTTTTATTGATATTATTGCGAGTTTTGAGAATTTACATTTCCTTCCCTGTTCTAAGATTTTAAGTAGCAAAAATAGTCCTTGGCTGTTGCTTGCTACAATTTGGTAAATTTTTAGCACTATATTGTACATCGTAAGATATTCTTTAAAATGTAGTCATGTGCTGCATGACAATATTGTGTCAACAGACCACATACATGACAGTTGTCCCATAAGATTATAATGGCTATACCATACAGCCTAGGTGTGTAGTAGGCTATGCCATCTAGGGTGTGTAAGCACACTCTTTGATGTTCGCACAATGACGAAATCACCTAATCTCACATTTCTCAGAACATCCCTGTCAAGTGACTCATGACTGTAATTCAATAAAAAGTCTTTCACATATTTTTGAGTGCATTGGATACTTCTTAACCATGACCAGCTCTATCCTATAAAAGAAACAGGCTGATAGTGCGTTGTTGTACACCGGTTCTCACTATTTGGTAATTCTATACTGTAGGGAAGGATTTGGCTCCAAGAGTTGAAGAGAAAAATGTATTTAATATGGCTAAATGCTTCTCTTGCAGAGACTGGGTCCACCAAACACACTTCATTTGCTGGTGAGGGATGTAAAAAAGGTCAGTCTGTCTATTGTTTGATAACCCTTACCTATTGGTATCTTTCACTAAAATGTCTCTTTGAAGCAATTTTTTAACTTCCAAAATGTGTTATCTTCTTATTTGAGGCATTGGAGTAATGAATTCCTCCCTTCATTAAAGTTCACTTAAAGTTTCAAGTTTACTTAAAACTATAAAAACAAAGGATAATCTTTTTTAAGTGAATGTGCATTTCCACATGTGACAGGGACATGCTGAATTATGTCCCTTGATTATGGGTTGGTGCCATGGCCAAGGCCAGGGTCAGCAGCTGGGTGAGGGTCCTGCCATCCACTGACCTGAGCTGGTACCACCATCTGTCAGGGCAGCCTAGTGTCTTATGTCCACCTTAAGGTCTCTCCCTTGTGCACTGAGCCTCCTTCAGAAGCACCAGAGAAGGTTCTGCAGTGCACTCTGTGTGTCCTGTTGGCTGCAGCACTTAGTCTGGGCCCTTTCTATCCCCTCATTAAGCGACAGCTGCTTTTCCCACTTTCTGCTGCTGCTGACTCCTTACACTCTGTCTTCCGTCAGGGCATTTCTTGCGTCATGTCGCCATAGATTGGAGGACCGGATTGGGTTCACAGAAGATAGCTCATTTCACTAGAACTCAATCACTGGCATGCAGAGTGTGTAACGTGTGTTCATACTCTGAGCAAGGGAAAACAACTCAAATGTGAGAATAGGGTTTTCAGCCAGAGTCCTAGATAGCCTGCTCATTTTCATACAAATATTGAATGTTAATAATGTGAGAACGTGACTTCTAAAAACATTCATGGATCAGAATGGAATCAGTGGATCTGGGGATAAGCAGGACCTCTGAGACTCTCTGGCTCAATGCCCTTGTTTTCCTCATAAGGGATCCAGCTTCCCCTAGAGGACCCAGTTAGAAGATAGATTAGGAAGAGCAAACATTCAAAAGTCCAGGCCCAGTCACTTCTCACCCAAATGGCTTCATTAACCTTCCTCTCTCCTCCAGTCCCATCTTTCCCACCATCCCCTGCCTAAAACCCTCCAAAGTCTCCCCATGGGCCACAACACAATCTGAACTTGTACCAAGAAACATGCACCCCACTGAGCCTGTCCCATGTCCACATCCCCTACTCTTTCCCATCACGTCCCCACCACACGGTGCACTGACCCTACCTGACACTCCAGTGCCCAAGAAGTCCATGTCCAGTCTGGACCAGGCCTTGCTCCCATCTGCAGTGCTCTTCCTCTGCATCCCCTGCTGTCCCTATCCTGTCTGCTCCTAGCTACCTTGGGTGTCAACTTCTCCAGGAAGCCCTTTCTCAACCTCCACCCGCCAGGGAGAGTCGGGCAGCTCCTGCGCATCGCATGTGCAGTTGCCTGGGGGCGTGGACAGCTGTGGCCCTCTCCACCAGCAGTGAGCTCCTTAGGGCAGGCTGTACCTCCTTAACTCTGCATGTGGAATTCCCCGCAAGGCTGAGGAACACAATAGGGGCTGAACACAAATATGCTGCATGAGCGAAGGGTTTAGCCCATGCAGCCAGTCCTGCTGTAAGAGGAAGACATTTGGAATGGGTACTTTCCATGTGATAGACCCCAGGATACCCACATCACTCAGCCATATGAAATTAATCACGCAATAAATGGCACACAGCAGAAAATCCTTATAAACGGCTGGTCAGCTCTGCCTCTTGTATGAGTCTGCCTGCAGGAGAGGAATGGCTGACTCCTGAATGCATGGGCCCCCATCAGGCTCTCCCCTCCTCCCACACACTGACTCTGTCCCAACACACCCTCTTCCATCTTGACTCAAAGCTCTCCTCTTGGCTGACTCCCGATCACTCCAGATAGTCTGTATGCCTCTGTTCTCACTAAAGATTGGGGGGGGGGGGGTCCCCCGAAAAATGGCTGACTCCTGAATGCATGGGCCCCCATCAGGCTCTCCCCTCCTCCCACACACTGACTCTGTCCCAACACACCCTCTTCCATCTTGACTCAAAGCTCTCCTCTTGGCTGACTCCCGATCACTCCAGATAGTCTGTATGCCTCTGTTCTCACTAAAGATTGGGGGGGGGGTCCCCCAGAAAATCACAGGGCGCCAGGCAGAGCTTCCACAATAAAAGCCCCAGCCCCAGGGGGATTCTGTTCCACCCACTGCCTCCCTCATGTCCTCCTCCTTCTGCATGAAATCTGCCCTCTCCCCTGCAAGCCCCTTCTCATCAAAACCCACCTGTTCTTGTGCAGGAAGCCTGCAGCATGCACCCACCACCCTGCCTCCAAATTCACACATGCATGCTACAGACCAGCCTGTCTAAGCCAGGGAGATGCCTGGTCATCGGCCCCACAGCCACATGGGTTCCTAACCCTTTCTTCTCTTGGAAAAGTTAAACCCATTTTCTGGAGCAGGGCTTAACCCTTCACCCCCCTAATCACATGGTGACAGACTGATAATTGTTTCATCTCCCATCCATTACATGAACTCCCACATTGGGGCCGGGATGACATTTTTGCCCAAGGTGTGTGACTAAGCCCACATTCTCACAAGGCCTGAGTCAAACTTCTTTCCTTGCAGAGCAACCTTCCGCCTGACTACCACATCAGCCTCATAGACATAGGGCTCGTGCTGGAGTACCTCATGGGAGGCGCCTACCGCTGCAACTACACGCGGAAAAGCTTTCGCACCCTCTACAACAACTTATTTGGACCAAAGAGGGTAGAACTCAGTGAATGTGCAGTGTTCTGTGGCTGCTGGAGTGACATGTGCTTTCTTGCTGTGTTTTTCAGTAACTCAGCCTGTTCAGAGCCACACTCTGCACCCAGCCCCAAGCATACCTGCCCTGCCTCCCACAGTGACTCTCGGGTCACCCTATGGTGCCCAGCTTCACAGGGGCCATTCTCCTTCCCCCGTTAGCAAGTTGGGCAGCATGGCCCATCAACTGCATCTGCTCTCCTCCTTTGTCCACAGCAGCCTTCCTCCAAGCTCTATGCTACTGTCTCTGCCCTCTGCCATCCATCCCACATCCTACCACAGCAGCTGCCATGATCTTCCAAAGCAAAGGACATGACAATGCACTCCCTGCTCAAAACCACACTGCCTGAGGAATCACGGCCAAACTCATCATCACAGCATCCAGGCTCTCTGCCAGCCGTCCCCACCCTGTCATGGTAGACCACATACCTCTACCAAAATGGAGTTGTCTTACTGTGCCTGCCACAGCTTTCCCTTTGATAAGTGCCTTCAAAATCCTGCTCTTATCAAAAGCCCAACTCAGAAGTCAGGTCTTCCTGAAGCCCGCTCCTCACCCCCACTTACAGCCCCGTAGCTTTGCATCTGGAGTTTTGTTAGGGAACTTCTCTGGTCCTACCTGGAATAAGCATCATGTGTCTGCAGATCCTTCTCCTCAACTGACTAGAGAAGCAAAGTTTCCATATTAAAGCATTTCTTTCCCTTGGATATTGTCTTTAATTGTTAGTGATACAAAGTACATTTTAATCTATTATTATGTCTAGTACTAACAATGCTACTACTAACAGTGATCTGAGTAAATTGATTCTTTTTTCCCTCCTTTTATTATGCAGCCTAAAGCTCTTAAACTTCTGGGAATGGAAGTAAGTAGAATGTGTTTTCAATAGTTTTATGATGTCTTGTTCAAATATATGTAGCCCTTTTAGTTTTGTATTGAACACAAAATTGAACCAGTTTGTTTTCTATGAGTAAATCCACTCTACTGCTGACCAAAAGTTACTTAGAAACTTCGTCAAATTACATAAAAGGATCACACACATTTTAAAAAGGGTAAAAACTACCCAATTAATTTTACAAAGTAAGAAAAATCACAGTTTCAAAAGCTAAGATTAAACAAAAATAAACTGGAGAATATATACATTTTTTTTAAAGGCAGAAAAAAATAAATGCTAAAGAAAGAATACTCAAAAGGAAAGAAAATGATTGTTGGTAAAAATATATATATATATTTACATATATATATATATATAATTTTGTGTATAGGAAACCCAGGAAAATCAACTAGTTTCCTCACAATAGGAGAGAAGTACAGAAATAACCTTAACAAGGAACCTTAACTTAAGAACAAAGCACTAGAAATAAAAACATTTAAATGAATGGAAGAAATGCCATAACACAGGATATTAAGACTGACTATTCCAAAAATCCTTCTCAAATTCACAAGTTAAATACAACCCAGTTCTGTGTGGATTCAGAGTAGAAGGTTTCTGTGTTCACAATTCAGACTGACCTTCAGCATTTTCTCATTGCGTTGTTGAATGTGTGTTCCCACACGGTTATGAGCTTTCCACAATTTCCTATTCTCTCAAACTCTTTACGACAGGTGGGGTTTATCTGTTCCATGAAGGTTTGGTAGAACTCTCCTGTAAAATAACCTGGTCTCAGTGTAGTAGTTTAATTTCACTAACTTTATAATAGCTTTTATAAATATGCATCCATTCAGGTTTTCTATTTTCTAGAGTCAACCTTGGTAATTTTCATTTCCTAGAAAATAATTTATTTCATCTAGACTTTCGCATTCATTGGTATAAACTTATATACCACTCTAATTTTTTCAACATCCTCAGTATCTTCAGTCATGAACAATTCATGATAACGATTGGAGAGACAGGTTCTCCGCAGGGCCCCCAGGCTGCAGCCCACTCCAACCATGCAAGTGCAGGCGAGTTATCCAGACCTTGAGCTGCCAGAAGGAATTCACAACCTCTCAGAATCATCCTAAGAATGAAAGTAGATGATTGATGGGAAAGCCGTTGCAAAAGAGCAAGCACCTGTCTCTGTTATTCCACTGGGTACTGCAGCTCCGTCCTGCAGCAGTCTAAGGCCCATATATCTCCACGCCAATTCTCCAGTTGTGACCTGGCATTTTTACGAATCCTGCTCTGTTTTCAGAACTGTACTCACAATCCCTTTAGGAAATGGGAAATGTCAGCCACCTAGGGCAAAGGACAGTGATCATTCTAAATGGAGCATTTTCTTAAAGCATTGAAGGAAAACCGAAGACATTTTTCTCTCTCCCCTTTTACTTTTTTCCTATTAATTTCTGGTTCAGCTATGTCTGGCAAACAAGTGTGGATACCTTGCCGCATTGGAAGACTTGCCTGAGGAAATAAACTGCGGTCTTTACCTTTCTTGTCATGCTATTTGTATTTAGTTCTTTAGTTTTTGTGTTTTAGTTTTGCAGCATCTCTGCAGTTAAAGTCTTCTGGGAAAAAAAAAAAACTGCTAGCCGAGGGGTATAAGTTATTCAAACTATGCCTTTCAGTTCATTTGGTTTTTGATGGTTTACTTAGCACAAAAAACATGTGCATCTTTTCAAAAGAATTAATATACCGGGTGGAAACTTAAGATGTGCCTTAGAAGTCTCTTTTTTACCTCCGACAGGAGGTTTTCCTTTCTCCAGTAGTTCTGGAACCCTTGGTTGCACATTTATGGTAGAACCATGAAAAACGTGCTCTTCTCCCCTCAGGATGATGAGCCTCCAGCCAAAGGGAAGAAAAAGAAAAAGAAGAAAAAGGAGGAGGAGATTGACATAGACGTGGATGACCCCGCGGTGAGCCGGTTCCAGTACCCCTTCCACGAGCTGATGGTGTGGGCCGTGCTGATGAAACGGCAGAAGATGGCAGTCTTCCTCTGGCAGCGGGGGGAGGAGTGCATGGCCAAGGCCCTGGTGGCCTGTAAGCTCTACAAGGCCATGGCCCACGAGTCCTCCGAGAGTGAGCTGGTGGACGACATCTCCCAGGATCTGGACAACAACTCCAAGTTAGTGTCTAGAGGAGATTTAAGGACCGGGAGAGATTATTGTCCCTTTCAAGGGAGGGGTGGCCAACGTACGTCTCATGTAGGGACAATGATGGTTAAAGCTTGTTCATAACAGAAGAACACCCAGGCTGGTTGGTACGTATGCGTGTAAGTGTGTGCATGCACGCATATATTTGTGCGTGTAAACAAATGCCCATGCACAAATGTTCAACATTTAAAACCTAAAGAACTGAAAAATGGCTAAAGATTGATTAGAATTCATGGATAAATAAGATACATAAAAAGACCATAAAATATGAATGGATAGCATGTCCTTCAGAGAAAAAAAGCAAAATCAGCTTAAGAAATGAATGCAGAAGGACCAATGCTAAGAGAAAGAACCACCAGAGTTCCCCTTGAAAAGTACATTGTAAACAGGAGAGAGCATTTAAAATAGTTACACATGTGAATAAATATTAAAAATATTTTATCCTCCTAAAAAAAAGCTTATTCATACACGGTCTGGGCCAACATGTCAGTATTCTTCCTTCTGTCTCTCTGAGGTGCTTCTGGACTGTCCTTTTTGTTTACTGCCTTCTCACGCAAAGTATTAAAACACAATTTTAATGCAAAGACAATGCAATAAATTTCCTTAAGGAAACACACACTGGAGAGGAAGACAGTGTTATTGAGCCTGCACCCTGGACTGTGAGCTTCACAGTGTTTCTCAGTTTTTTCTCCCACCTTAGGTAGGACAGGAAGCCAGACAAGGCAGAGTTGGGTATTTTCCATCCCCAAGGTCAGCTGGGCTCCTAGCGGGTTAAGCCCAGATAAAATCGTTCCTCCCAAGGGCAGACCCTGTTAAGAACAGAACGCTCCGCTGTATTTCAGAATGGTTTCTCTTTCATTCCCCCTGTTGGAAGCCCAAGGGGATTTTTCTCCTATGCTCACTGTGAGAACCTGGTCTGGGCTCCTGGATGTAAAAGTCACAAAAAGGAGCCCCCATGACTGAGTCTCCCTGGAGGTTTTTTTTTTTTTTCTCCTTTTTGTCTTTTTTACTGACCGGTAACGGGATCGCAACCCTCGGTGTTGCACCTGCACCTCGCTCAGCCAGTGAGCAGGAACCAGTCTCCACATGGGATCCGAACCCTTGGCGGAAGCGCCGCCACACTCCCAAGCGGCGCACTCTCCAGTGCACCACCGGGCCGGCCCCTCCCTGGAGTTTTTACCTCTCAGATTTGTCCATGCTGAGATTCCAGGAATTCATCAGTTACAGTTCAGGTTTTCCTATGTCAGCACTAGTCCCAGTGGAGGTTTCTGCTCCAGTAAGTTGTGATTCTCTGTATCTGCCTGACTGTTTGCCCTGTGACCTCACTTCTCTGACAGAGCTGCTGATTTTCAGCTTGTTCAGCTTTTTACTCGTTAGGACAGACTGGAGACTTTCAAGTTCCTTACATGCCGGACTGGAAACCAGAAGTCTCAGTATAACTTTATAGGCACATAAACTCAAGGCTGATACATCTAACGTCTTTGTTCTCTGAAGCACACTGCTTTTATTTTGGACTCAATGATTTTTTTTCTTTCTTTCTTTTTCTTTTTTTTTTTTTTTTTTTTTTTTTTTTTTTTTTTTTTTTTTTTTTTTTTTGGTGACTGGCTGGTACAGGGATCGAACCCTGGACCTCAGTGTTACCAGCAACTTGCCCCTGGACTCGATGATTTCTAAAATTACTGGCCAATTTCTAAACGTTAGGAATTCAAGGCTGTCTAAAAATGGGGACATGCTCACTACCTCATGAGTTCACAGATGCCATCCCTTGCTTTCTAGAATATTCACAGTGAGGTGTCACTGCAACCTGCAGGGCCTGGGCCAGAAGGTACTGCAGACACGTTTCTCTGCAGAGGACAGAGAAGGACACTCTCCCTCTTCCTCCTTCAGCTCATAATTGGAATAAAATCTCCTATAAAATGGAAAACAAAAAAGAGGGTGACCACTATGGGACCATACGCTCACCACCTTCCATGACAAAAAGTTGAAGAAACTGGGAGTGTTTATGGCTGCCATCAAATATTTGAATCAGGGTCATGTGGAAAAAGGAAGAAATTCCATGTTCAAAATTCAGCTTCTGTCATCTTCTCCATGTCCCCAACTCCTATCACTGCCCGCCATCAGCAGTTAGGTCCCCCTGCTCTGGGCTCTGTCACAACTATACCATGTCACTTTCACAGCAATGGGAATGTTGCGTTCTCTTATAATCAATGAGTTATTGAAGAATTACACACATACAGAAAAAGGCAAATATCCTAAATGTACAAGTTGGTGACTTCACAAACAGAACACACCAGCACCACCAGCACCCAGATCAAGAACCTAACCAGCACCCACAAGCCCTCCTTGTGTAACCTTTCAATGTCCCCCACCCCAGACCCCCACCAAGGGCAGCCACTATTCTGACTTCCAACCCCACAGGTGATGTTCAGGAACTTGCCTTTGCCGTCTTTTCTGTCTGCCTCCCTGATCCGTGCACAACTTAAGGGAAGAGACTTTGTCTTCTCGTCTCTGTGTCCCTGGGGCCTGAGGACCAGATTTGGGGTCAACCTAAAGCTCCATGTGCAGCAAGAGCAGCCAGCCCCTTTCCTGACAAACGCTGTGAGCTTTGTGCTGGCGGAGGACATCAAAGCCCCTTCCAATCAAGGGTTCTGTATCCTGTGGCTCCATAAGTCCCTGTGGACACATCTATCTAGGAAAGAGTTTGTGGCCACTGAGGCTCCACCCTGATTCCATGTCTTCCCCTCCAGAGACTTTGGCCAACTTGCCGTGGAGCTGTTAGATCAGTCCTACAAGCATGACGAGCAGATCGCCATGAAACTTCTGACCTATGAGCTGAAAAACTGGAGCAACTCGACCTGCCTCAAGCTGGCTGTGGCAGCCAAGCACCGGGACTTTATCGCTCACACCTGCAGCCAGATGCTACTGACTGACATGTGGATGGGGAGGCTGCGAATGAGGAAAAACCCTGGCCTGAAGGTACGTGTGACATGGCTCTCAGTCTGCAGAGGGCAGCGGTTTTGCTCTTACCCTCTGCCACGCTGAGCTAAGCATGTCCTGTGGGTTATTTAGTTTATTCCTCTGAGCAACCCCACGCGGGAGATACTGTGCCAATCCCTATCTTACATATGACGAATCAGAAGCTCTGAGATGAAATAATTTGCCTAGGATCATAGCTGGTCAGCATGGGTCCAGGGCCTGAGCCCAGGTGGTCTGACACTGGAGTCCCACCTAACCAGCATGCCTGGCTTACATAAACCCCTGACACAGTCAATGTCTTCCAACAGAGCCCACCATAATTAATCACGCACCCTGGATAGGTCCCCACCAGTAAAGCAGCGACCTGAACTCTCCATCTATAGATTCTCTTACAATTCTGAAATTGTGTGATATTATTTTAACTGGAGATATTTTTATCGCACAGGGTGTATGAGAGAATAGGAAGTTATGAAAGGGTTTCAAAAGGATGTAGTGGGGAGAAAACTGTATTTTGATCAAACCCTAGCTCTGCTATTTACTACTGTTAACCTCTAGGTTATCTTGAGAAGAGATTCTAATCTGCAGGTAACCCAGCTATCTAACTGGCAATATGACAACTATTTTATGGGACCACTATGAGGATAAAGACAATATATGTTACACTGTGTAGCACAGTTCTGGCAATAGAAGGCGTTCATTTCTTAGAAATATGAATGCTTCTTACCCAACTGTCTAATTCTATATGATAAACTAGGCTGACATTATACACAACTTTGGCATTAATAAATAGTTTTCAGAATACCAAGAATAAAGAGATCTTAAGGGTTTTAAAGAAAATAGGCCACCTACAAAGGTATGAACATCAGATCGGCACCACACTTCCCATCAATAATGCTGAAACCTGGAAGGCGGTGTGGACAAGGCCTTCACGGTTCTGAGGGGAAACGTTTGGAACCTGGAATTTTTTTTTACCCAGTCCAGCTACTTAAAAACATGAGGAAAGAATATCTGCTTAAAACAGGCAAAGACTCGAACTACATACTTTCTACCTACCCATTCAGAAAAATTACTTCAGAGGGTAAAAAGGGGGTGGTTGTAAAAATTACAAGAAAAAAGGTGATGTAGGGCTGGCCCTGTGTCTCACTCGGGAGAGTGCGGTGCTGGCAGCACCAAGGCGGTGGGTTCGGATCCTATATAGGGATGGCTGGTACGCTCACTGGCTGAGCGTGGTGCAGAGGACACCGAGCTGAGGGTTGCGATCCCCTTACCGGTCAAAAAAAAGAAAAAAGGTGATGTGGAGTATGAGGGACCAGCCCCATGTTTTACAAGTCCCCATGTGAAAGTTGCGCAGCAGAAAGAAAGGCAGGTATATAAGTGCAAGGGGTCAGTGGGATCCAAGGAGAGAAACAGAAGGAAATGAAAAAGTGGACTGAATGAATGACTAAGAAACCACAAAGCATGCAGGTGAGGGAAACAAAAACAGTTTACAATCTTTAACAAGAAAATAGGAGGATCATAAATTTCAGGAAAAGCAAAAAACTGCACACAAAAGTTAAGGTTCAGTTAGGACTCAAACTAAAATTTGGGATGATGTAGAGAAACACTGATAAAAAGGCAGCAAGTGTCCATCTGTGGGCTGGGGCGTCCTCTTGTTGTCTAGGCTGAGCTCAATTAAGTCCTTCTTTTGTGAGTCACATTAGACTTCCAAGTCTTAGTTCTCATATTCCCATTTACGTTGAAGTTATTTTTATATAATACACTTTTGGTCTCCTTCACTAGAGGTATTGCTATATTTTATTTATTTATATTATTATATTTTAATTGAAAGTTTTACCTGCCTTAAATTTTAATGTAAGCACTTTGCTTTTTAAAGTCAGGATCACACATAATGCTGCATGGTTTTCATCTACAAAATTCAGTGGAAGTTCCTAAATTTTTCACTGTCTGCAGTTCTGCCAGCGTACCAAGCACAAACATGCACAGAACGTCAGAGCAGGGATAAACATATTCCAGGGCTCCTAGGTGGTTGACTAAGGATGAAGGTTATAATTAAAAATTTTTAACTACACCGGGAAATTTTTCTAGAATTGCTATATCTTAAAAATTGATTTATTTCTCACCATTCGTAGGTCATCATGGGGATTCTTCTTCCCCCGACCATCTTGTTTTTGGAATTTCGCACATACGATGATTTATCATACCAAACATCCAAGGAAAATGAAGATGGCAAAGAAAAGGAAGAGGAGAATATGGTCAGTGCCACCCTTGATCCCGAGTGTCAATTTGCTGTCATTTTCAAAATTGTTGAGATTTAGAAACCTCATTAACTAGGGGTATTTTTTATAACCATTGTTAGAGGAGCCGTGTGCTGGCACACATCACATGTCTCATTTGACGACTGCTTGCCATGTGCCATGCTCTGTTTTCCAGGACACAAATGCAGATGCTAGCTCCAGGAAGGGCGACGAGGAGAATGAGCACAAAAAGCAGAGAAGCATCCCTATTGGGACAAAGATCTGCGAATTCTACAATGCTCCCATCGTCAAGTTCTGGTTTTACACGGTAAGGCCTTCTCCTTCGCATTTGCCAATCAACATGTTTTGAATACTTAGATATATTGGAATCAAAAATTTCAAGGGCTAAAAAAGTATCTAAAAATTCACTGAGTTAAAATGAATTACGAAAACAAAACTGGGACTAACTGAGACCTTTAAAATTGGATTTAGATATCTTGTCATATACAAGTACATAAATATGTATGTAGGAATATGGCCTTCCTAGCCCCAAACACACCACTTCAAAAAGCAAATGTCACATTCTAGTTGCTTAAGATGAAGGATTTTAAAATGCCTTTAGTATTACAAATTTAGGGAAATATAATTTTATTTCTAAATGAACAAAGATGACTAGTGGTTTAAAGAACAAACTTACAGATCCCACTTTTTATTAAACTGGTGGAGTTATGAAGAGTGTGGCTGCGCCCAGATTGTAAACTCCTAGAATAGCAAGCAAATCTAGGCCTCTCTGCTCGAAAGTGCTCACCAAACTGACCCTCTTGGCCAGCAGCCATCCTCCGGCCCCTCTAGTGCCAGGTCTCAGAGAGTGTGTTTTGCTTCCTTGTGACAAGAGCAAGAGGGGGAAAGCAAGGCAGATGTGGGCACCTGGGAGGTGGGGCATCTGATCTAGCTGCAGGCAGTCCCAGCAGGAGTGGCCAGGCACACTGTGGCTTGGGCAACCATGTCAGTCTGGAGGAGGGACGAGACTTCTCATTAAATCCTAGGCACCAAGCCACAGCCCCTGCCTGGCAGGCCCTGGAGCTGTGGTTCCATTGGTGATGGGGTGGGAGCAGGTGATGGGACATGGGGCACCGGGGCCAAAGCCATGGACCGGACAACAGATGAGGGTGGCAGGGGACAGAGCAGAGCTGGAGGTGGGCGGCACACTTCGAGGGTCAACCATGGGCCTGGACTCCCAAACCTTTTGGCTACCACCTGATGATGCAGCCGAAGCCACTGCCACCCATCTGTTCTGGCCAGAAGCAACTGAGGGAGCGGGAATCTGCCCAGAATGCAGGAGCACTCAGCCCTGGAGCAGGAGGGCCAGGAGGCCCACAAGTCTGCCCAGGCTCTCAGCCTGAGACCCTCTTATGCTCTCTTTGATGTGGGGAGGGCATTTTATAGCTTCTGGGGATTCTGATGCAGCCTAAAGTTTGAGAACTCTGACTCTACTCCTCCTGCAAGGAGTAGGTGGTGAATACAGAAGACTCTACCTGCATCCTGGTAAAGTTTATACAGTTGGAAGGGGGTATCTTGAAAAAAAAAAAAGACTGCTGAATCACAAACACACAACTGCTAGCACCCCTCCCCCAAGACATCAGAAGGGGCCTGTGCCAGTAAGAGACATGGAAGCTGATGTTTCCTGAGCTTCATGGAGGATCACACTGGGACAGTCAACTTCAGACACCTTTCAGACACCTCCCTCCACTCCATGCCCCACCCACCCCTACTTCCAATTCTTACCTCTTTCCATGCCACAGACAGGGACCTGTTATGGCCACAGTATATCCTGGACTTGTCACTACTAACCAAGGGGACTCTTGAGTCAGCTCCATGTGTCTGGGCAGACAACTCACCCACACGTCCTCTCTTCTAACTTCCCAAGTCGTCCATCAGTAGTGGAAAGATTCAGGAGGAAAATTTGTAAGGCAGGAAGCAGTTAGGTAACATTTTCCAATTTCCAGGAATGGAGAACACACACCAGCAGACTATTAAAAGTTTCCCTATTTATCATCATTTTTGCACCTTCATAATTTCCCCACGAGGATGACAGCACCAACACATAAATCCTCATGTAGAAAATGAGATGCCAGTGCCTGAATCGTGCAGAAATATGAAATGCCTCCCACCTGCTTCAGAGTTCCCTCTCTGCACTGGCCATGGGCAGGGAAGGACACTTTGAAATGAATCAGTCCAGTTGGACAAAAATTCATTTTAGAAGGTGCATCAACCTGGAAATAGGGTCTCAAAGCTTGATTCCAACATTACCATGCTTCTCCCCCCCCACCCCACCCCATCCCCCGCCCTGAACGTTGCTAACAGCTTCTTTCCCTTTAGATATCATACTTGGGCTACCTACTGCTATTTAACTATGTTATCCTGGTGCGAATGGATGGATGGCCATCTCTCCAGGAGTGGATCGTCATCTCCTACATCGTGAGCCTGGCGTTAGAGAAAATACGAGAGGTGATTACTCCAAACGCCTGTCCCAGCCCCACTAACCACTTACTTCAAGTTCAGAAATGATTCCTTATTGCAGAAACATTTTTTGCATACTATAAGAGGGTACTGCAAAAAGTTTATGAGAAGATTCATTCGTCTTTTAATCTATTTTTCCATGAATTTTTGGAAGTACCCTTGTATGTGCTACGGGACTTTTCTTTTGAGGTGTCACAATCTCAAGTTTATTCCATTCACTTGTTTAAGATGTGTATGCCTTCTGCTTCCAACTGAACTTGAACTTGCAAATCAAAACACAAAATAAGTGATATTTAATAATAAAAACAGGTCTCAGTACATATAAAAGCAACAGCAAATGCTTCCAGCTACCTGAGAGAAACCAATTACTATAACCGGGTACAAATTTTGGCTCCGTTTTCTGGGACCTGAAAGTAAAACCAAAAAGATCCAAAAATGACATTTTCCTGTAACTCGGGACTTTGAGCACACTGTGCACTCGCACGTGCACACCTGGACTCTCATGCAAGAGATTTATGATGGGGCTCTTCATGAGAGGGAGTGCGGAGGTGGGGGGGAGGGGAAGGGTGGAGACTGTGTGAAGTGTGGTTTCAGGTGGCATCTGTCCCCAGCCTAATCCTGCAGGGTGCTCTGAGTGGACATAGTAGAGTCCGTCTTACCTTGAGCAAAGGGAGTGGAGTTCTGTACTCCGCATCAGTCAGTCACTGGCACCCTCTGGACAGGTGGCTCCAGTTGCCCTCCCAAGGAAGGGGTAGTATGGGCCTCCCAGCAGCACCTGCAGCAGATGGCATGGACTACCCACCTGGCAAAAGGACCTTGGGGATCTGGGTGGGGCGCAGAGTATCTGCTGCAAACACAAGGAACAAGATTTTCAACTGTGTTGAAAATGAACAGACACCATCTCGCACATGACTCTTACATCACAGAGGGCTTAAAATTAAAATATAACACTTGGAAGGCAATCTCTGCAGGCAGCAGAGGAAATGTAGGCCAGGTACTTTTCTTTCTAACATCATCCACAGGTTTTAATTCACTATATTCCCTTAGGAAGAAAAAGCTTGTATCCAAGCCAAAAACAAACTTTGACTGAAAAAGCACACAGCACAATTTCATATACTATCTCCAACTTATACAGAATCAATGCTATGATTTTGCAATTACTATGGACCCTTTCACTAAGCCAGAAAATATTACTGGTAACCCTGTCCAGCTAGAGTGAGTTTGATGCTTGTCAGTCTAATGCAAGACTTAGAAACTCAAAGAGCACAGGATCTAAAGTGGCTCAGCCCTGCTTCTGCTACTACTCTCTCTCTCTCTCTAGCTGGGCTTCATTCCAGTTCTGCAGATGCTGTAGCTGGGATTCCCCAAGTGGCCTGCCTCATCATCTCCATCAACCATGCACTAAGATGCTGTTCTTTACTCCAGGAGCCCACCCTGCAGTTCTAGGAAAGAGAGGGCGGCCATGAGCCAGGGCGCACTGTGCTGGCTGGTAGATAGCCACCACCCCTCCCACCCCCGGGATCTCCACAACTCAAGGGGTACCACCTGGCATGGCAGCCCCCACCCTGCCACAGCACTATAGCTGTATCCATAAGGATTGCTCTGTGTGTGCTGTGCATGCTGCTTGCTGAATATTTTCCACTTTACTCTGCAGAAGTCTTCTTTTAATCAGTGGTGATTTTGAATGGGTAATATCTCAAGTAGGAGAAAATCTGGTCCAACTTTCCCCTGACTTCTTATGTCTAAGTTGCAAAGGAATTTTGGCAAATCAACATTTCCCAGCCCAATTCCACCACGTCCACCAGGTGGATTGCCCTTCTGTGGGACCACGTGGGGTCCGTCCTGCTCAAGAGTCTTCCTCCTGTATAAGTCTGGAACGTGGGCTAACACACATGTCCAGAAAATTAGAAATCAAAAGGAAGCTGCTTTAATTACAGCCAGAAGGACATAATTTAGAAGGCATTTCCTGAGAGTTTGTGAAACCCTGAGTCTAAGAATACAGAGGATTCTGTGGAATTTCCCTTTCTAGAGATCTCTCTCTGACTGAGATGATTAGTGTTTAGAGGCCTCAAGCAGCTCTGGAATGTTCCACCCATCTTATCTTTCCAAGATTCTAAGACAAGGCCTCTAAAATGGCACTCTGGGTTTATTGTTCTCTGGGGTTTGCTTTCAGATCCTCATGTCAGAACCAGGCAAACTCAGCCAGAAAATAAAAGTCTGGCTTCAAGAGTACTGGAACATCACGGACCTCGTGGCCATTTCCACGTTCATGATTGGAGCAATCCTTCGCCTGCAGAACCAGCCATATATGGGCTATGGCCGAGTGATCTACTGTGTAGATATCATCTTCTGGTACATTCGTGTGCTGGACATCTTTGGTGTCAACAAGTATCTGGGGCCCTACGTGATGATGATTGGAAAGATGGTTAGTAATAACAGCCATGAGTAACGAGAGATCCTTTGGCTGTGGTTAGAACATGAGACCAGGCCTTGGGCTTGGCTTCCTTAAGAATAACTCTTTATAGGGCAAGTGCTTTTGAGCTAAGGGAAATAAATATGGTTTAGTTAATTCCAGCAAGGGCCCTCATCTGCAGGAACGTTCAAAATTAGGAATTAGACCAGTTTAGTATTCACAGTAACCAGAGCATTGCTCATTATAATCACTTAGCATTTGTATAATGAATGAAAAAGTATTGGTGTATACTCTCAATTAATTATCTTTTTACGTGCTTAGGTATCTCCCCCTCTTACTCCTTAGTTGCCCTTAAAAACTCTCATGTTTTCTCATAATTCTTCCCTTTGTCCATTTGTGCTTGCCATTACTAGAGATACATCCATTCATGGGCAACAATAGAGGAGGAGCAAGAGGATTAAGAGCAGATGAGGATAGCAATGCTCTAGAATAAGACATATGCACTGCATGGACTAGAAAAAACTAGTAGCCCTGGATGGGAAGGAAAAAGGCTTTCTTCATCTTAATTAAGCACTCGTGAAGCCTTTGAAGAAAGCAATATAATGAGCCGGGTGAACTTGGCCCATGAGTCAGGACAGTAATAGACATACGTTCTCCGTACTCAGATGATCGACATGTTGTATTTTGTGGTCATCATGCTGGTCGTGCTGATGAGCTTTGGAGTAGCCCGTCAAGCCATTTTGCACCCAGAGGAGAAGCCTTCTTGGAAACTGGCCCGAAACATCTTCTACATGCCCTACTGGATGATCTATGGAGAGGTGTTTGCAGACCAGATAGACCGTAAGAATAGAATTCATAGTAAGATTCTCTTCCCTGCTTCCGAGGCAGATGATCAGTTCCAAATTAATGGAAGAGCATGTATTAATTTGGAAATAATGTATTTTTCATTCTGCCATAGGCATGAAATTATTTTATAAAGAAATAAGTATCGATGATGAAATGTAGATTTTGAGACATCACTCTTTTCCTTTACTCTGAAAACCATTCATGAGAATTCTAAGAGAGTCTCACTTCCCTTGAGCTGGACCTGGTTGACTTCCTATCACGTGAATGTGATTCCAATGCCAATATTCTAGTTTTTCTTCAACCCCAGTATTTTTCTGCCCCAGGATAAAGCTGGCAGTGTTACTGCAGTAGAATGAAATCACGAGCATGGTGAGATAACTGCCACCTCACACCATGCTCTTCTCAGGCCATCAAAGCCATTTCCCACACAGCCATTCATGTCCTCTTCACCACTGCAGTGCCATTTTTTATTGCCAGCAATAATCTGGATGTCAGCAGAGGAAATGAACCACAATCCTGCACAGATTTCTGGGGAATGTAGGCCCCAGCTCCTCTGCAGGTTGAACTGGTAGGTCACGGTGTTGTAGCGATGCGGAGTTCAAATATTCTTGGACCTATTTTACCAGGACAATTAAGCTCCACCAGTGAATAAGACACTCTAGTCCTGTTTTCATGTTAGTGCCAACATTTTTATTTGCATGTCGTACTTTACAATAACACACCAATATGATAGCGTGTCTGCTGCTTCTAGAGTTTTATTTGGTAATAGGTTTTAAACATCCTCCTCTCACATGAAACACAGGCTTGTCAGTATATCTACTGCCAGGTTAGGCTGATAAATTCACTCAGTTCCTTCTCTCCAGCTTTTATAACGTGATTCTGAACACATCATTATTACAAGCTTGTGACTTGGTACACCAGAACATAAAAACCTCATTTGGTTCAAAAGAATATTAGCTCAGATAAACATACATATATGTTTAAAGTCCCTGGACTCCACACATAAGCTGTAATATTTTTATTACTAGTCTTTTTTAATTAAATTGGGTAATGAGAGTAGATAAATATATAAGTTGACACTATGCTATTTTCAGTAACACCACGAAATGTAGGTTTTCAGTTCTTGATCTATTACGTGATAATTTTTTTAATCTATTTGTGCTACTGAGGTGTTTGTGTTGGAATATAGGAAATGTTTGATTGGTTAACCTGTAAATTAAAATGATCATCTGCCAGTAACATCATGTCTCTTTCACAGTATTTTTAACTAGTGAGCTTTTACTGTTGTTTATGACACATGGTAATACAAATACATGAAATATATTTCCTACCATTAATAATGTGCATAATTCTTCTAATTACATCACTGTTTCCAAGCATGAATCTGTAATTTCTAAGCCTGAAATCTTTGCATTTCTTGACAGCAAAACAGTTCTTGTGTTGTTAAACCATTTGTTTCACTTTTCTCTCAGCTGTCATTTTATTTTCTTTCTTCCCCTCCTGTCCACACTCCTTCCCCTCTCCACCTCCCCCCACAAATCCTGCTTTCCAATCACTGTATAGTCTACGCCATGGAAATTAATCGTAAGTTTACATGGAATTGATGATTCTAGTCCATAAAATGTGTTTATTAATTAGCCTTTCCCTTAGCTGATTATTGATATTCTCATACTGTTTTCAAATACTTCTTTTGTTTTCTTGTGTCAATACTTTTTTAGACTGTAAATAAAAAGTAAGCAGACTATAAATTCACTGTCAGGATCATCCTATTTTTTTTTCTTTGGGAAATAGCTCCCCTATGATAAAAGTGGCATTTCAAAATAAACAGAGGGAGAAAAGATTATTTTTCAAACACAGCACAAGAACAGTTGATTAATCTATTTGCAGGGTAGAGGGAATCCCTAGCCCAAACCACATAAAATTATTTTCAGATTTGGTATACAAGTGAAACCAAGAAAACAACCAGAAGACAACATAAACTAATGTTAAATAAATGGAATTCACGGTAACTTTCTAATAGATAACAATAAAGGAAGAAATCGTAAGATAGATTTGTCCCGGGGCCGGCCCGGTGGCGCACTGGATAGTGCGCTGCTTGGGAAGCGCGGCGGAGCTCCCACCCTAGGGTTCGGATCCCACATACAGACCGGTTCCCGCTCACTGGCTGAGCGAGGCACGGGAGCAACGCCGAGGGTTGCGATCCCGCTGCCGGTCCCCGGTCCGGTACGGGGGCAACACTGAGGGTTGCGATCCGTTGCGGAACATGGAAAAAGACAAAAAGACAAAAAAAAAAAAAAGATAGATTTGTCCGCTTAAAAATTAAGAACTTCTATCTATGAAAAACAAATTAAAAAATGGGAAATTGTTCACAACAAATATGACAAACTCAGACTGACTATCTCTGAGTACAGATACAAGTTTTTTTCTTCTTTGTATGAGTTGATATCTTTCACATAGAAAATTATTGCTTATGAAGTAAGAAAAAATAATATTAATAGGTCATTTAATAACACACATAACGGATATTTATTCTTTTCATTATATGTAAGAAACAAGGGCAAAAAGGCAAACTTTTCTTTCAGCTCCTTGTGGTGAAAACCTGTACGACGAGGAGGGCAAGCGGCTTCCCCCGTGCATCCCGGGCGCCTGGCTCACGCCCGCCCTTATGGCGTGCTACCTGCTGGTGGCCAACATCCTTCTGGTGAACCTGCTCATTGCTGTTTTCAAGTACGTGTCATGGCTGATGGCCATGTGCTTATTATTTATTGCTTTACAGATTTTCAGTTTAATCTCAGAAACCTCCCATGCTATCATATATTTGCAGAGAATTTCATTAGGGCTTTTAAATGGATAGAATTTTTGAAGTTTTTTTGTTCAACCTTAATCAGTCTTAATGTACTCATAAATCAAGAGGTGACATGTTAAATACATTTAAATTTAATCTTGGTTAGTATTTTAAATCTTTAATGTGTATCTTAATCTAATGAAAATATTTACTTAGATGAAAGTCTCTTGAGGTATAAAGATTTGATCAAGACATACTTTTCATTCATTATCGGGGGCACAGAAAGCAATATTAATTTCATAAGCTGTTACAATCACTGTAATATTATATAAAATACTTTTTCTTATTTTTTACAGAAAAGAAGATTAAAATGGCCAAGGGCAAATATGACTTAAACTATTAAATCAAGTTTCTTATCAAACTCGCCCATTTGGCATGATGTATTGAGTGTACTGACCATGCTTAATAAATGTTGAAAAAAATTATTTTAGGTTCTAAAATGAAAAATAGGAGGGAAAAATCTCTTGTGGAAATCTAAAATAAAATCTTAAAACTGAACAGGGCATTGAAGAGAACCTGGTTCAAACTCCTGACTTAAGAAATGAGAAAACCAGGATCGTAGGAGGATAACTGACTTTGCTAAGGTCCCATTGTTACAACACAACACTGCAGGCAATGCAATCGCGTGCTTCCCAACTCCGTTGAAAGATAATGAAAGCTAAAGTAAAGTTAAGATTTTACCCACCCCACGTCCAGAGTAACTCACTTCCAATCAAATTAATCAATCCAGTTACCAAAACATAGTCAGCTAGCTGTTTCTCGGAATCAAAAGTTTAAACACTTCAAAATGCTTAGTTGAATGGCTCATACCTTTACATAAATGAGATAAAATTTCCTGAACACATGAGTCAGTAGACTGTGGTGTGGTTTTTCAAGAAAGCAGTAGATAGCAATTTAATACCCTTAATTCTTCATTATTTATATGAGTAAAATGGCCTTGAGCATAGATAATCCACAATGAGAGATAAGCCAAAAGATTGGGTAATTGAGGAATCAGTACCAACTGGCACAAAAAGGCCATTTCATTGTGTATTTTCATTTCAATGTGAGTAACTGATCACTCCGGGAAAACACAATAAAAAGTAATATAACTAATTGTAAAAATGTTTTCTTCTTAAAGCAATACCTTCTTTGAAGTAAAGTCAATATCCAATCAAGTGTGGAAGTTCCAGCGATATCAACTGATCATGACATTTCATGACAGGCCAGTCCTGCCCCCGCCAATGATCATTTTAAGCCACATGTATATAATCATTATGCGTCTCAGTGGTCGCTGCAGGAAAAAAAGAGAAGGGGACCAAGAGGAACGGGACCGTGGATTGAGTATGTGCAGAACTCTTTACTTCTATCCCGGGCTAATTTCAAAAAAGTGTTTCAATTGGACACCCTCATAGAAATCTCACTGAACTATTTACATGTATGAAAAACACAACACTCTAGCCCAACTCCTGTGCTTTTCAGAATGCATCCCATATTGTATGGTTTTAATCTAGTTTTGTTAATGGACTAGTAATTAACATCACTGAAAGGCAGCTCATGGAGATCACAAGTTGAGAGAGTTCTCAAAAATAACTCTTCTATATATAAATTTCCACATAAATTCAGTGCTCCTTTCAAACTATTTTAATTTGCTGCACTGAAAGAGGATGAGAAAATAACGCTATGCATTTGCCTCTATTCATAAAATACATGCAAAGGGTTTTCCAGAAAATATTACTTGGTTTCACTTTCCCAGTAGATGAAATTTTGTTTCTGTGTGCTCAAAAGCGAGCCGTTTCGCTCCAGCAGAAAGACGACTGCTGCACGTGACAACCTCTTTTCAGGTAGTGACCACTCGGAGTAGTCAGAGAACTGCCCGCAAGTGGCGGAGAAGGCAGCAGTGACGCAACGGAGTGGCTTCTCCACGCGTCTCGCTGGCTTCTCAAGTGGCCAACACTGTCCTTTGCACAGAGCTGTTCCTCAGCGACGAGGAGCTGAAGCGGCTGCACGAGTTCGAGGAGCAGTGCGTGCAGGAGCACTTTCGGGAGAAGGAGGACGAGCAGCAGTCGTCCAGCGACGAGCGCATCCGCGTCACCTGCGAGAGGTGCGCCCGTCCCCGCCCACCGCGGCGCGCCCCACTCTAAGGGCGGCGCCAGCGTTCATTTAAACCTGCGCTCTCGGAGCCGCGTGTTTACTCAAATGCTGGGTTTCACGTGTTTCCCCCTGAAATAGTACAGAAGGTCCGAGCTGCTGTTTCCATACAGTATAAAGAAGTGAAGGATACCGTCTATTGCACGCATTCAAGACCAAAAAAACCCTGAAAATTATTGCCCACCCTCCTCCCCCCCCCCCCAATTGGGGCATTTACCACAATGTCCTGCATTCCTGAAAAGCCACCTCTCTCCCTGCGCTGGTGGTCGCGTTGCCTTTGCCTGTCGTGGTCTTCCTCCCTACCCTGCCTAGACACTAGCTGCTGTTCTGCAACACCTTTCCCGACCTCCCAGGGCAACCCCCCTCCTCTGGGCTCCCATGAGAGTGGGAACTGGGAGGGGCGGAGGAGGGGTGGGGTGTCTGTCCCCCACGAGAGTGGAAGCCTCTAAACTAGAGCAGGATCTGTCTTTCGGACAAGTTTACACCCTCAGTACCCAGCAAAATCAGCACAGTCCATATGGTAGTGCCTAATAAATGCAGAATGAATGAATGCATGAGAGTGTGAATCAATGAATGAATAAATGAAGGCAAGTCAGGGAGGGACAGAGAGGGTCACATGTTCCAAACTTTACAGTATTGCTGCACCCTAAGTTGATAAGAATAACCAGCAAATGGTGGACAGGTACAAGGAATCTTCACTATCTACATTTTTCAAATCACGTAAGTTTTGAGAAAACTTTCTCACTTAATAAAAGCAATTTAAGCTTGTTAAAGATCTTGATGATTGATACTACATTTTTCCAAGCAATTTAAATAACAGTGCAGGTGGAGGAATGAGCACACAGGAAGAGACCTGCCCAAGGGGATTCTAGCTCATCTTTATATCCTTCAGTATTCAGAATTAAAGTTTCCTGATACAGATACATGTGTATACTGAGAAACATAAAAACATGGTAGGACTTCAAAAAGATATTTCAGCAGACAGTTCCCAGTCGAGGGCCCCAACAACTGCAACAGGATTCACAGACACATCTTGAAGTTTCCCTGGTGCATGTCCAGACCAGTGACTGCCCCAGCCCACAGGAGGTGAGATGACCCCAGCAGTTGAAGGTCCCTGCCCCCTCTCCCCTCCAAGACCCTGGCACTTTGTAATCCAATCAGATCCAATCAGCCAAACTCAAGGATTACCTGCACCACCTTTTGCTCTTAATAAGGGACATTTTCAATAAAACTGTGAAACACTTCTTTGATATTTTAACAGTAATTGCTAAGCTTCCAGGGCATAAAAATTATTTCTTCATAAGATGAGGTACAGCATGTAGGTCATCTAAAATTTCCACTTTTTAGTTAGGCCTTAACTTGAATTTAATCACAGCTGGTCATTTACAATGGAAATTGTGGGGGTTTTTTGGCTCTGCTTCTCCCCCTTCTCCCTCCTTGTAGCATTGTTTGGATTTTTACCATTCTTGGACCAAGGCTCCAAGAATGTGGTTATCAGGTTGCTACCAAATTGTATTTTTCTCCTGGGGCTCTGTGCACACGTAATAGGAATGAATGTGTGCAGGGAAATAAAAACATGCTACTTCCTGCTTCCCTTGGCTGAGATCCCCAAGAGTGATGGGACACATTTCTGCCCCTCCAGCTTCCCTTTGCTGGCCCCGTGTAGGCTGACTCACAGGTGGATGCCTGAGATGAAAGAGGAGCGGTCTGGGGAGGAGGGAGCTTTCCTTCTGTCTTAACCAAGCTGGTTGAGGAGTAAGGAGAAGGTGGGAGGATGGAAATAAAATTAGTTATTTATGCCTAACTTTGGGCACCCGTGATTACTTTTAAAACAACCATTTTAGTACTTTATAATCTTCTTTATACACTGAGTTAGTTTAGCTCCTGCGTCACCACTTGCCACCTGACAGTTTTCCTGCTCTTCCCCAGCACCACCAGATGGTGGGTCTGGTAAGGAGTGCGCAGTACCCCTCCTGTCCTCCCTGTCCAGGTGCCTTTCCAGACCTGAGCCAGCAGTTCTCCTGACTCAGTCTTACACGTGTGTGCACTTGGGTCATTTATGCATGAGTCACATTCCTCCACGTAGGGGCTCTGAGTGCTTTTCTGTGGGAACCAAATTAACGGCTTTCTCCTAATGCTTAGAAAGTTACATTTAAAATTTTAACAATTCAACCATTCATTTTTCTTATAAAGTTTTAGCATTTCATAAGGGCCAATATTTAGTCCCTCAATAAGAGATTTGCAATATGATTTAGTGGTGGGTGTTCAGGGTGGGTTGCAGCAGGGTATTTAACCCAAGGCCCTACCCAACATGCCTGCTTAGATGTCTCACAGGCACCAGACTAATGGCTCCCCTCCCAGGCTCTGTCATCACCTGTGCTCCAGGCTCTCTGAATGGCACCACCATTCAGCTAGTTTAGCAATATGGGAACTGGCCAATCACGTGACACCTCCCTCTTCTTCACAAACAATCATCTCATTCTGTTTACTTCTCCTCGTGAATGAGTAAGTCATGGTCCTCTCACTTCTTTCCATCTCTACCACCAGCACACTAGCACAAGCTTCCATCATTTCTGACCTCCATTCCTCCAGGTGTCCCCCACCGAACTCTCAGAGTTAGTTTCTGCTCTTTCAATCCACTTTGTACTCTATAGACTCTAATCACTCCCTGCACTCCTCTCCCAGCAGCTCCCTGTAAAAGCCCCTCAGTGTCTCCCACTGCTCTCAGGCCTGCAAGGCCTTGCCGTCTCTCCTTCCTTACCCTGGCCTATCCTCTCCCTCAGCCTCCATACTCCGTTTCTTCACCTTCCTTCATTTCCTCAAAGCACTATGTTCTTCCTGCCACAGAGGCTTTGCACATGCTGTTCCCTCTGCCTGGTACACCTCACCCTCTTTCCCTGCTCATCCTTTGGATCTCTGCACAAATGCCAATTAATCGCAGAAAACTTCCCTGACCACCTAACACCTTAGACTAGGTCAGGACCCTTGAACCCTAAACTCCATGAAGACAGGACCATGTCTGGATTTTGTCCACCATGGTATTCCCAGAACCTGCATGTCTCTACATAGTAGGAGCCAGACTTTGTGACTGAAGGAATGACTCAAAAGTTTGTCTCCTGCTCTGAATGCAAATTTATATCCCATCTTAGATCAGTTCCCTTTCAGAATATAAAAAGTATGCTTGATTTGAACCCTCCAGGTTCAAAACATTTGTTTTACTATTAGGAAATAGGAGCAGTCTCAGATGCAAGTGACTGTGCCACCCACAGCTATCAGGAAGAACACTTAATATCAGAAACACCAAAACAAGTGCTGGCTTTGACAAGCATCGTCTCTTTGCTTGAAGAGATAACATAAGAGAAACAAAAGGGCTGGAGGGATGAGAACATTTTATAGATAACTTCTGCCAACATGACCAAGGTAGAACCTCTCAACCTAAATATTCTGTTCTCATCACATGAGGTGAATAACTGGTAACATGTATCCCTGATTGGAGCCCCAAGGTGTCTTCTGCAAATCCACTGCTGAACATATTGCTCTTTTCGTGGTTCAGCTTCCTTTACCACAGATCACAGGTGCAAGGGCAATGGGGTTGGCAAGAATCTTTCCTGACAAAATTTTGTCAGAGATTCAACTTCCTATTCTCAAACAATGGTAAATATGTCATCGAGTAAGTTTTTCTTTTTTCCATGGCTTCAAGGAGCTTAGAACCAAACTTAATATTTAATTATAATAGGTATATCAGTGTAGATTTTTGGAATATGTGGTATATGCTGCCTTCTTATTTCCTCCTCTTTACTCTTTTTTATCTTCTACTCCATTTACATAAGTTTTATTTATATCTAATATTTCAAAATATGTGGTATATAATTCAAAAATTATACATTTTAAATGTAGTTGTCTCTGTACTTAAAAAGTTATGGGTCTTAGACTACCCAAACCTAAAGTAGCAGATTCTGATTCCCTCAAAAACCTTCTGGGTTAGTGGTTTCTTGTCAGGTCTGTGGATATGCATTAAGGTCCTGGATTTCCCGTAAGCTTGATGGAAAATCAGCAATTTGTGGCCTTGAGATCTTATTTGACATCCTTTTCCCATGTGACCAGGAAGAGAAGGTACTAGTCATAGAGACCCTTCAAGAAGGAGGCTAGATAGTAACTAGAAGAGGAACTGAAAGAGAGCCCAGGCTTAGAAAGGAAGTGGATGATTCCTCGAGTGTAGAGAAGGTCACAGAAAGACAAACACGCAGTGATGTCGGGAAGGCGTTTGGGGAAGGTCCCATCTGAATGTCTTAATCTTATCAACTGATAGTAGTGAAGGTTGCTTGGATGATGGGAAAGGGATGGAAGTAAATGTTGGAGTTTTAATGTGCCCAGTATATGACACTTTTGTTCCTCACCTGACCTTGAGAGCAAATTCATAGATAGATGCAGACGTCAGGCAGATAGTGATAAACGCATCAGCTTTCTTAGTAATAAAAGTTGTACTGGATGGTGTGGCTCAGTTCTTGCCAAATACACCTGCAGAATTAGGCATGCCCATGTGGTCACAGGCAGCACTAGCCTTCTGGGCCTCCCTTCTCACAGGGACAGTCAGCCTCCCCACTAAGTTGCCATATGACCAAGACAAAGTGAGACCCATGTTGCTTGCAGGCAGCTGGCTCCCAAAGAGAGAGAACAGCATACTGGTGTCCTGGTCCCCAAAACCCAACCAGAAAAGCAGTCCTCTCAAGAATAAATTAAGGGCTGGAGAGATGCCAGAAGTGTTACACTAATGGAAAGGCTGGGCACATAGAAAGGAAAAGTGGGAATGGGGAACAAGTATTCCCTCCTAACCCCCACTGAATCAACATTACAGACTTGAAGCCTGTGGGGAGGAGTCAAGCGAGTTCACTTTTAGGGGAAATACACTAGGAAGGGAGATAACCAAGGGATGGCTTGGCAAAAAATAAAGAA